AGAACTATTTCAGGCCGGGCCGGGCCTGGGCGCCGTCAAGGCGGCCCGGTCCGGGCCCGAAACCCGGTTTTGGCCCTGGTTTCTAGGCCGGGCACCGAAAACCGAGGCCCGACCAGCGAGCTAAATGGACAGGCCTACTTTTTATCCTTAACTGTTCAACTATTGCATAAACGCAATACACATTGATTTGATATTTACATACAAGCATCATTTGGCTAACAAATCCGAAGAAAGTGTTGGATAGCAGGTTCCTAATATGTTTCCTAATTTGTTTTGGTAATAGATTATTGGGATTCATAATTAATTTTGGTAACATGACTCCAAATCTATTTTGGTAACAGGTTATTAGGATTCCTAATCTGTTTTGTTTTTTATTTTAGAATTCATAGTATGTTTATGATTTTAGAATTTCTATATATATTGAATAATTGGAAGAGAGAATTGAGAAAAAATTAGGGATATTTGGAGCATAGAAAAGAGGTATTTTCTGAGCTATTGGTTAGGGTTTTGTTTGGAGAGAATTAGAGATTTGTTGGTGAGATTATTGTGTGAGTTTGAGTGATTTGTAATCTTAGTTTGTACTCTTCTTCTCTATTATTGAAAAACTCTATCCCCTTCTTGCCCAGTGGGCGTAGGTAACTTGCCGAACCACGTTAAAATTGGTTGTTTGTGTTTGTGGCATTGATTTGGTTCGTTTGGCCTTCTCTCGACGTTCGTTTGATTTGATTTCTCGTAGCACGTTGGTTTGGTTGTTTGGCTTCCGTAGTGCTCAACAAGTGGTATCAGAGCTCGGGCTACGCTTGGGCTATTTGGAGGAGTAGGTTGTTTTGGAGGCTCGCCTAGGGCTTCGTTTGGTGATAAAGATGAGATTTTTTTGGTAAAGACTCTATTTTTTAGTTTTGGATCTATTCTTTATTTGTTCCGCATTTTTTTTGGTGCTTTAAGAAAGTTAGTCGGGAAAGAAGGAGTTATGGAGGGTACTTCCGGCGTGAAGATCGTCCAAAGTTTGAATATCCACTCTATGAAGATAGATGTAGAGAAGTTTAATGGCACAAACAATTTTGGTCTTTGGAGATGTAAAGTCTTGGATACGCTCAATGCACAAAATTTAGAAGATACTTTGGAGTTGGACGGGAAACCGGACGACACTGAGGAGAAGGTTTGGAAAAAGATGAATAGAACGGCATGTGGTGTGATTAGATCTTATTTGACTCAAGATTTAAAATATGATGTGATCAATGAGACTTCGGCTAAGAAGATTTGGGAGATCCTAGAGGGTTGGTATTTGACCAAGAGTATAGAGAACCGCTTGCATTTGAAAAGGAGGCTTTATCGCTTCTAATTGAAGAAGGGGACCTCCATTAGTGATCACATGAACCACTACATGAAGCTTCTTGAGGATTTAGCGAATGTAGATGTGATGATTGAAGATAAGGACAAGGCGTTGTTGTTGTTGAGTTCCTTACCTGACGAGGAATATGAGACCTTCGTTCTTTCTCTTATTAATGAGAAGACATCTCTTTCCTATAGTGAGGTCACCACCGTACTTGTGAATTATCAGCTTCGAAAGAAGGATAAAGAGACTTCAGTTGAGCCGATAGCGGGAGCATTGGTCGCAAGAGCAAAGAGTCCAAACCGTGGTAGGTCACAGTCTAGAGGGGCACATCTTGGAGTTCGTAGGAATCAGTGTGCCTTTTATAAAGATGATGGGCATTGGAAAGCCAAATGCCCAAAGTTGGTTGATCGAGCCGGGAAGAATAAGGGAAAAGCTATTCAAGCTTCAGAGGTGAATGTTATCAAGGCTAGTGACAATAATTCAGATTCGGATTCTTTGGGCTACTCGTTATCTGCACTACCGTCAGTTTGTATTGTCGACTCTATAGAGTGGATATTGGATTTGGGTGCTTCTTACCATATTTGCCCTAGGAGGGATTGGTTCTCCAGCTTTTAGAAGTTGAAAAGAGGGGAGATCGTGCTCATGGGTAATAATCATGAATGTCCTATTGGTGGTATCGGTACCGTTCAGATTAGGATGAGTGACAGAGTGATTCGGGAGTTGGTTGGAGTGATGTTCGTTTCTCAGTTGAAGAAGAATATCATTTCACTTGGAGTTTTGGAGGTAGCGGGCTATAGGGTGACCTTGGTCGATTCACATTTGAAGGTCACATTGGGGTTCATAATTGTGATGAAGGGCGTCAGGAGGAATAATTTGTATTATTTGATTGGGAGCACGGTGTTTGATAGAGAGCTGACGACTTCTTTGAATTTGGCTAGACTGTGGCATTTGTTGATGCTAGGTTATTTGATTGGTTATGCCGTGTATGGTTTGTTGAGGAGTGCTTTGACCTGTAGATTGAAGTCCTTTGAGCACATTGGTATGAGCAAGAAGACCGAGGTGGAGTTTGACACTTCTATCCATCGATCGAGGGGTCTTTTAGATGGTGTTCAGTCAGGCATTTGGGGGTCTTCCAAGGAGGCATCATTGGGAGGTAATCAGTATTTGGTTTCTGCACTTGGGGATTGTTCTAGGTATTTGTGGGTTACAACCAGGTCCCTTTGGTGTGAAGTCCTAGAAGTCAACAACATTAGAAGAAGTGTATTGGCAGAAAGGTCATTCTAACTTTGGTAGGGGTTCTTTCTTGCATTTGTGTCGAGCTCATGGCAGTTTGAGACATTTTATTAATGTGGAGACATTGGGACGACGAGATGAGATGATAGTTTTGATGGGTCGTTCCTTACTGGAGGGGATCAACGTTGGTTGTCGAGCATTGGTTTTGGTTTTGGAGATTCGACATATTTGGATCATCTTGGTCATAGGTTGTCGACTGCTACATGTGGAGATTTTGGTTCTGGTAGAGCTGCATCAGATTTTGGGTTACGTCGGATATTTGGTTGCCCAGCATTTGGTCACATCGAGGATGTGAGATTTGATTCGATTGCACGTTTGGGATTCAAAGGTTCGTTTGATTATTAGTTAGGAGCTTCTGATTTTGTTCTGAGCAGGTATGTCATATTTGACTCTTGGTAGGTAGAGAGTGTTGATCAGATCATAGGGATATCGCAGCGGGTGGAGGGTGATGCTACTTCACATTGGATGAAGATTACTCCACGTAATCCAGATTATACTGCATCGTTTGGGATTCTAGCTGAGGTAACACAGTTTGAAGATCACATGGATTTGGATACAGATGATGAGTTAGTTTTGGATTCGAGTACAGCTGGTGGACATGTTTTGGATACGACCATTGGTTCACCTCAGGTGGAGGTGTTTGATTTGTTTCAGTTTGGAGCCATTGGGAGCGCTATCAGTTGCAGATCCGTTGGTGATATTGGTGAAGAGTTGCAAACTTTTATATTTGATTGAGGGTCTTTGGAGGCTGTTTGGGTAAACTACGTGAAGGCTTGATTCTTTGGGCAAGAGAATGCGTAGGCAGTCATTTATGATGCAGCCGGTTTGGTGAGTTGATACCGACATTTGGAGTTTGTTCGCATTCTCGTTTGGGTTCTCAACTTATTGTGGATTGAGTCCGTTGTCGTGGATTTGTTCCACTTCGTACTAGACGTAACAAGTGATACGTTTGGTTGGTATTAGTATCAGCTCAGTTTTGGAAAAACTTCGCCGATGTGGAGAATTGTTTTTTTAGTAGGTTCCTAATATGTTTCCTAATTTATTTTGGTAACAGGTTATTGGAATTCCTAATCTGTTTTGGTAACATGATTCCAAATCTGTTTTGGTAACATGTTATTAAGATTCCTAATCTGTTTTGTTTTTTGTTTTAGAATTTATAGTATGTTTATGATTTTAGGATTTCTATATATATAGAACAATTGGAAGAGAGAATTGAGAAGAAAATTGGGGATATTTATAGTACAGAAAAAAGGTATTTTCTGAGCTATTGGTTAGGATTTTGTTTGGAGTGAATTAGAGATTTGTTGGTGATATTAATTGGTGATTTGAGTGATTTGTAATCTTAGTTTGTACTCTTCTTCTCTATTAGTGAAAAACCCTATCCTCTTCTTGCCCCGTGGACGTAGGCAACTTACCGAACCACGTTAAAATTGGTTGTTTGTGTTTGTAACATTGATTTGGTTCATTTGGCCTTCTCTCGACTTTCGTTTGATTTGATTTCTCGTAGCACGTTGGTTTGGTTGTTTGGCTTCTGCAGCGCTCAACAGAAAGTCGTTTATGAATTTACAACTGTGAGATATACGTTTTTATAGCAGTAAAAGTATCTAATAGCTTCAAAATCTTCTCAAAGATGCTAACACTAATTTATATTAAATTTTAGCCTCCATAAATAGTAGGATTAATTAATCTTGAGTCTACAAGAAGTTGCGCTTTTCTGGGCGCCCCTAAAGTAACCCGTTGTCATATCAACAAATGGCCTTGAAAGTTAACTAATGGTTTGGATTCTTCTGAATTATAGAAAGTCCAATGTATAAATCAAGTATTATGAAATTATCTAGCCATTAAATAAAAAAAACATTAAGAAAATTTAGATAATCACTAATAACTCTGGTGATCTTCAAAACAGATAAGCCCCATTATTTAAGCATTACTTAAGATTTAGTTTCAAACTCACCTTAATCAAATAGATAGGAACAAATGCGGCCTATCAATATAATCCCAACTGATAACTAAACTTATCCAATTTTATGTGAATTAACCTTTATCCTTTGTACGGGAAAGATTTGTTAAGAAGTTTATATCTAGTAAAAATACTGCGCAAGTATGATGATAAAAGGAGAAAAAATTAAAACTATATTCGTGTATGTTAAGAACTTAACAAATAGTTAGTTAATTTCATATTTTAGATAGTTATGACCCAATCCAGTATAACTACTATTATATTTCCGAATGATTAATGATTTTAGTTAGAGAAAGAGTGGTCTCGTATTTCGATCATATTGAATAAGTAGTTAAGATTATACTGTTGCCAAAATGTCTATATATATATACATAGCCAATACCTTAAGAAGAGTGCAAAACTTGAGATTAAACTATGGCTCTCTCAAGATTATTTTTCTTCATATTTGCAATCTTAGCTTCTTTCTCTTTGTTGAATGCAACAGATGTTTCTCATGACGGAAGAGCCATAAAAATTGATGGCCAGAGAAAAATTTTGATTTCTGGTTCTATTCATTACCCAAGGAGTACTCCTCAAGTAATTCCTTTTCATATTTACACTTTTTCTTTCTATAGTTTGCTTTCAAGTGGTTCAAATTTCATATATATTTTAAATATTTTTTATGTTTCTTAATGTTTTTTTAATAAAATATTTCGGTGGAATGTATAATAATTGAAAATTGGATTATTTTCATACGCTTGACGATATCAATTTTTTAAAGCAACTTATAATATATATTTTGCACATTATGTATTGTATTAAACATCGGGAATAATAATTTTTGTAATTTAAATTTTCAGATGTGGCCAGACTTGATTGCAAAAGCGAAAGAAGGTGGACTTGATGCAATTGAAACCTATGTATTTTGGAATGCTCATGAGCCTCAACGCGGCCAGGTTTTTCCGTTTATTTATATTTGTGGTAAATAGCTTTAATTTTTTGATTAAAATAAGTATTAATAAATGTTGATATGTTTTCATTTTTCAGTACAATTTTGATGGCAACTTGAACATCATTAGATTTCTCAAGGAAATCAAGAATGCCGGAATGTATGCAATTTTGCGTATTGGTCCTTATGTTTGTGCTGAATGGAATCATGGGTAATGTCAAAATTATATAATCATTTTTATATAATTATCATTATTATAAGTTTTTTGAATTATGTTAATTTTTCCCATTTTCAGAGGACTTCCTGCATGGTTGCAACAAATACCTGGAATGCAGTTCAGGACTGATAACCAGCCATTTAAGGTAAAAATAATTTTTTAAATATTTTTTATTATTGAATTAGCTATTTTTACTCCAATTTTTTATGATTCCCCAATATTTTTATCTCGCAGGATGAAATGCAAAAGTTCGTCACTAAAATTGTAGACATGGTTAAAATAGAAAGCCTTTTGGCACCACAAGGAGGGCCTATCATTCTCACTCAAGTATGAAACATGTAAAAGAAACAAACTACTTTATTTCGTTTTTAGATAATATTATTCTGATTTTTTTAATTTTTTTAAAAATAGATTGAGAACGAGTATGGTAATGTTGAAAAACCCTTTAAAGATGCTGGAAAAAGATACATTTTGTGGAGTGCACAAATGGCAGAAGCTCTCAATGTTGGTGTACCATGGATTATGTGTCAACAAGATGATGCTCCTCAACCAATGGTATTTAAAGCTCTCAATGTTGGTGTACCATGGATTATGTGTCAACAAGATGATGCTCCTCAACCAATGGTATTTAAATTTTTTTATTACAGTAAAATTACTTTTTTAATCTACTTTAATATTTTTTGAGGGAAACTTATATTTTTATTTGGTTTATCAGATAAATACTTGCAATGGTTTTTATTGTGATAGCTTCAAGCCAAACAATGAAACGAGTCCTAAGATGTGGACAGAAAATTGGACTGGCTGGTGGGTATTTTTCTAAATTTTTTTTTTACATTATTATTTTTTATTTTTTTCTGTATTTATATTATACTTTTGATGATCATACGTATTCACAGGTTTAAAAGTTGGGATTCACCAGATCCTCACAGGCCCGCAGAGGATGTAGCTTTTGCTGTTGCTCGATTTTTCCAAAGAGGAGGAACACTGCAAAACTACTACATGGTTAATTTTTGTAATAAATATATTACATATCTTGATTAACCTTGATAAATATTTATTTTGTCATTTTGTGATTTTTTTTTTTAAAATCTAGTATCATGGAGGGACCAATTTTGGGCGATCAGCAGGAGGTCCTTACATTGTAACTTCTTATGATTATGATGCTCCTCTTAATGAATTTGGTATATATCTTAAGTTTACTTTCCATTATAATGTATATTATTAATATTTATAACAATAACTTTCATTTTTTTTCTTTAATAGGAAATCTTAATCAACCGAAATGGGGTCATCTAAAGCAACTCCATTCATCCATCAAATTGATTCAGGATGCCCTTCTTTTTGGAGACGTGAATGAAACAAGCCTTGGCAACGGAATCACTGTAAACTACTAATACCAAGTTCTTTATGTTTAATTTTTGGTATTCATTGGCATTTATTCTGACTATGTGTTTTGTTGATTTTAGACAACAAAATATTCTGGCAACAATATCACATCTGCTTGTTTCTTGAGCAATGAAAATTCTACTGTCGACTCGACTATCAGTTTTGAAGGAAATAATTTTTTTGTGCCATCATGGTCTGTTAGCGTTCTTGCTAATTGCAGCCAAGAAATTTTCAACACTGCTAAGGTTTTAAGTTTTCCCTTTTTATATTTTCTTAAGTCTTAATCATATATATGATGATAATTTTGAAAGTTATTTCATTTTCTTGCCAGGTTGGGACACAGACTAATGTCATGGTCAAAAAGTCTAACTTAGCTCAGGATGTGGCTCAGTTAAAATGGCAGTGGAGGCCTGAAATCTTAGTGAATCAAGTACAAGGAAAGCATCCAATAAAACAAGCAAATGCACTCTTAGAGCAAGTTTCTGTTACTGCAGATGTTAGTGACTATTTGTGGTACATAACCAGGTAATTTTATTTTCATTGCATAAAAAAAAATCCAATTAGAATCTCTTTTTTTGTTATTATAGAAGTTTACAATAGATATTTCTTTGATTTCAGTGTGAATAATCTAACGCAAGGCAATATGACTCTTCGTGTTAATACGACTGGTCATGGTATTTATGTTTTCGTTAATGGAGTTCTTCAAGGTATTCAGTCTCTTCATATTTCAATGCGAATACATTTTTTAGAATAAAGTTATTCTAATTGGTTACATTTCCGTGTACAGGATCTCGGTATGCACTGACTGATCATTTCACTTACGTCTTTGAGACTCCTATTGCTGTTAACAATGGAACAAATATCATAGCTTTGCTTAGTGCAACTGTGGGTCTGAAGGTAATTAGTTGGTAAATAGTTTATTTCATTTGTTTTACACAAATAACCTATTTATCTGTTATAATTTTTGAAAATATTTCACTCTGTTGTAGAATTATGGTGCATTTTATGAGACTACTCCAACTGGGGTAGTTGGAGGTCCAGTTGAATTGATTTCAGGAAACACGACAACAGATTTATCGAACAGTCTATGGTCTTATATGGTATAAAATAAGAACCATTATGGTACTGTTATTTATATACCTAAGTTCTACGAGTTTTTGCTTATATTTTGTAATTTTCAGGTTGGCTTTGACGGTGAAGGAAGTCAATTGTACGTTGACGGCGAGGGCGTTAGATGGTATTCGCCAATGATTCCTATGAGCAGGCCCTTCACTTGGTACAAGGTATCAAACTAGAATTGATGCGTTCAATTTTAATTTTGAAATTATGTCTGTCAATTAGGGGACAAACAGATTGAATATTGGTTGGTATGATATTTACCCATCTTTTAAAGTTATATGGACACACAATGATGTATACATGAAATATCTATATCCAATCTTGATTGAACGAGAGGTGAACATATACAGAATATAACACAAGTGAGAGAAATGTTTAAGAGCCAAAAATAAATGATATGCAAAGTGTCTTATTTTTATTTTTATTTTTCAAATCAGAGAATATTAGAAGCTTCATATCTTCATTCGTATCCCACTAAAAATTAAAACTGACATCCATACAGCATTGTTCGTATAGCAACATGTCAACATCGGCATATGATCGAATATGGATATCCATATATTCACAGATATTTGCGCTCCAACTATTAATATTTGTTAATTTGTTTGCTTTGATCAGACCACATTCCAAGTCCCAGTGGGTTCGGATCCAGTAGTCGTTGACCTCCAAGGCATGGGCAAGGGGGTCGCTTGGATCAACGGAGAAAACATTGGAAGATATTGGACCAACATTATGGCAACTTCCAAGAATTGCACCCCGTGTGATTATAGAGGATCATTCAACGCTGGCCGAGCTTGCAACACTGGTTGCAATGAGATTGGACAAAGATGGTAAATTCAAAAATTAAAACATGTGGTTAATTACATATAGATCCCCATGAAGTATCGTCGTTTTGAACTTTCTACCCTAAATTTCATTGTCGCAAATAGACCCTCGGGTTATATTTTCTGACGCTTTTACCTTATACTCACTAATCTCACTAGACAGTAGGCAATATCTTCCAGAATTTCACCATCGACAAACAAAACTGAGTCAAAAAAGTGTAACCCAAGCACGGGGTCAACTTGCAACAAGAAACTACAGGGTGGTAAGTCTAAATAAAAATATGATATTCCATACGCATCTAATTCTTAAAACTTCCACAGGTATCATGTGCCTCGAGAATATTTGAAAGCAGGAGAAAGCAACACTTTGATTTTGTTCGAAGAGATTGGTGGCAATCCCGAGAACGTTAGTTTCCAAGGTGTAACCGTTGGTACCATTTGTGGCAGTGTAAACGAGAAGGAGACTTTGAATTTGACATGTGAAGGTGGGAAAATCTCTAGAATTGATTTTGCAAGTTTTGGCGACCCTAAAGGCACGTGCCAATCCTTTACCAAAGGAAGTTGTGAGGCTTCAGGGGCTTTGGATAGAATCCAACGGGTAAGTTTTTAAGGTTCTCTGTAGCTTCCTTGCTCTATTTTAAATGAATTATGTGCAACTTTTTTTTCCTTTGGTTTTATTTCAGGAATGTGTTGGAAATATGTCATGTTCGATACTGGCAGATGAGAGTTTGCTTGGAGTGTGCAGTCCATGTACTGGTAATGTGAGCAGGAGGCTCACCGTGCAAGCAACCTGTAGTTAGTGAGCTTTTGTTAGTTTATACTTTAGGATTTTAGGTGAGGCTAGTTTTGATAAATATTTATCTGAATAAAGTTTTGGTACTTTTTTTTTTAAGTAGTTGTATTAGGATGTGTAGTGAGAATGGTCACATTTTTTGCTATTGAGCTGAGTTCCCTATCTATTTCTTCCAGAAATTTTTGTTGCCAGAATGTTTTGAACAGAAAATATACGCAACATAAGCTTTGTTTAAAGAGATTGAACATCCAACTTATTGATTTTGTGATAGGATTGTTTGATGGCTGATGAATTCAGATGAAAATACCTGGAAATTTCTATGAAATTGAGCACCACCCTTTTATTTAACAAACTGATATATTCACTATCTAAACTTGTTATGCTGAATTGAAATCTGCAGTGAGAAAAGAACGTGATAGCAATTAGTTTCCTTTTTCCATTAAGCTGAGTTAGTTTTACGATAGTTTTGTTCTATAATTTGCAGCGACCTTATTAGTAAATTTCATTTACCAGGGAAGTTTCAGTAGTTTCACAAGAACATACCTGGCAGTTTCTACAAAATCGAACATAATGGTTTTATGTAACAAACTGATATACGCAGGGAAGTGCAACTCTATGAACTTGTTATGTTGATTGTCAACATGTGTGCTTCTCTCAGTCTCGGTATATATCAATCAAATATATTGAGATTTCATCATCTTTCATTTGTTGAAGTTTCAAGAATTTAAGGTCGTTTTTTTCAGTCATGAATCATGCATTCTGGTATATAATCTTGATTGATGTCTAACGTCCAAAAGATTATCACTACAAATGTATGAAAAAATCCTATGCAGCGTGCAGAAATTGAGCTCAGCCACAAGCACATAAATGTTGCGTGTTGGCAATTAATACATTGTAGAACTAACAGACAATTTTTGATGAAATATTTGTTAATTTTGTTGGGAAAATTGGGGTGATTGGTTAACCTTTTCCCCTTCCCCTGTAGATAAAATGGATTTATAAGGCAAATAACAATAAAATGACCTCAAGAGATAATCAACAGGACACCAATATTTTTAACGTGGAAAACCATTCATTTGAAGGCAGAAACCACGGAATCTAGTCTAGAAACAATTTTCACTATGAATATAATGGGTATACAATGTTTTCTCCGTAGACACTTGGATAGAGGTACACCAGTAACAAATATGGAAGAAAAGATTATTCTTTTCTACACCCGAGAAGGATGTTTGTGATTGGGTTTACTTTTGCTTGTTGCTCAGCTTCTTCTTTAGTCGGAGGTGTAGAATATTTATAGGAGAAGTAGGGTCATGGATAAACAATACGCTTCTGCAAAACCAGGTGAGGTATGATGCTAGCCCACAATGCTTGACAAATTCTCCCCTCACCTTCTTCATTTCACGTTTTGAACATTCATGTGAAATTTACACATCTTAGTCAACTCTCAATAAATGAAAGAGACCCACACAAAGAAAAAACATGTACGGTACAAATCCCTCCAAAAATAGAAGGGACCTATACAATAATTCTCCCCCCTCCTGACTATTTGGAGAGGTTCATCCCTGCTAGTTTTATGCAGAGGTCAAACTTGTCCTTGAGAACGGCCTTCGTCATCATATCAGTAGGATTCCTATTAGTATGAATCTTCTGCAATAGCATCTGTTTCTCTTCTGTTACAGCTTGTGACCAATGGTATCTCACATCAATGTGTCGGAGAATGGTACATATTTTTCTTGCTGAGATCAATAGCGCTCTAACTGTTGCATTACATGATGTACTCATTCTGCTTCAAACCTAGTTCCTGGAGACATCTTTTCATCTACAAAAATTCATTGCTCGCTTTTACAGCTGCAATATACTCTACTTCTATTGTGGAAAAAGAAACACGCTTTTGCAACTTGGACTACTAAGATATAAACCCCCCTGCAAAAGTAAATAAATAACCAGATGTAGAGTTTCTATTATCGAGATTACCTGCCATGTCTGCATCCGTATAGCCTTTCGGAATTGTTTTGGAATTGCCACATGTCAAGTGCCACATGTCAAGCACAACCCCATCTATTACAGGGTAAATGATTTAGGTAGACCATGCACATATATATATGTAGAGTATCCATCATATATAGCAGCCCTCCCATGGGGGCGGGTGGAAATGATCTTGCTAGCGCTCTGACGCTGTTGTTTCTCCTTCTTTTCAGGCAGCGGATCAGAGTTTCGGAGAGCCGCATGTTGACGGAGTTTCTACATAGTCACCGTCATTTCTTCATAGACAGCTTGTGTGCTCCACATTAGTTTAGTATTTGTTTAGTGATATATAAACTTGTATTTCATTTTGAAGGTTGAGAGTCTTAGTACTATTTCAATTGATTCCGTGTATTGAGATATTTCACATTTATTTTAGTTCGTCGGTTGTACTCTTTTTATTCAGTTGGGACATGATCATACTCTTTGGATATTTCTTTCTCTTGGCATGTTCATTGCATTTTTACTTTTCTCGTATCTGCTTGTACCTGTACTGTTCTTAATTGATTCCACTAGAGAGATATTATTGTGATGGTGAAATGTGTTATTGCACTGTGTGAGTGCAAGACAGGTTTGACATCTCTGGATTTACCTTAGACTTTAGCCTCGTACGAAACCAGGGGCGTCACACCAAAGTCGACGGCTTTGTAAGATATGAATAACTCCTTGTTGGATGTTGCATAGTGTGAAGCTACTGTGTCAATCACCCAGCCAGCATTATCGTCTCCAACATGCAAGCATTCTTCTCCAAGAGTGAGAAGAGACACTTCACCATCTATAGTGACGGTTGTGTTGTTGTCGTTATTTTTATTGTTGCCTCCGTTCTACTCCTTCTTCAACTATCTGCAGCTTCTTTTGATGTGACCTTCCTTGTAGCAATGATAGTACTTTACCGCAGGTCCTCTAGATTTTGATCTGTTTCTAGAATTCATATGGAAAATCGGTGGCACTTCGCTCCTACTTCTTCCTCTATCTTTTGTGGTGAGGGCTTGTGCATGTTTTAAGCCTGACGCCTTTCTTCTAATTTCTTCATTGAGCAGGCTTGCATTAACAGCACTCATCGAAACGATGTTGTTTTGGAGCAGAATTTTTTATGCTTACCGCAAGGGTATCCTAGTTGTCCGACAATTAGCCTAACAAGAGCAACGCTTGTACTTCATCGTTAAAAGTGAATTTCATTGCTGGTACATGATTCATAATACTTTGGAACTTGTTCAAGTGCTTTGCAATGAGGCTATCTGTGACGCCCCAGGGTTCACACAAGGCTGTAGTCCGAAACCCGGATTGTCAAACCTGCTAAGTACCAAACAGCATGCTACGACATGTTTTACCATCACAGTCGCTATCTCTCTAGTGGAAACAACAAATAGGTGAAGGTACAAAACAGGCAAATAATAGAAGTAGTACAAAATCAGATATGCACAGAAGAAGTATGTCAACAAATGAGCCCAACTGAAATAGAATGAAAATATCTCTGAGTCTGAAATACATCTCAATACAATGAGTCAAATGAAATCTCACTAAGGCACTCAGCCTCTACAAAATAAAAACAACTCTAAAGTTAGAATAATGAACATAACTATACAGTTGAGCTTCAACTACTAAGACTGTGTGACGGCGACTATGCTAGAACTCCGTCATCCTACGGCTCTCCGAAACTCTGGTCCACCTGAAAGAGATAATTTAAACAAAAAGAATAACAACAAGAGCGTCAGAGCGCTATAGCAAGATCACCTACATCCGCCCCTAGAGGAAGGGCTGCTAGATGAAGTGGAGGCTCTATCTATTAAGCATAGTCTACCTATATCATTTTTCATGTTTCTAATGGAGTTAATATTTAGACATCTACAAGACAAGACGTACGTCGAGCGAAATAATCCAAACAAGGAAACCCATATATATATATATATATATATAATGGACCATATCATGCATGCCATATATCAAAGGATATACCCTACTCATGGGTATTCTAAATCATGGAAGCAAAACTATAACTGTAGCATATATATACATATGCATCTCCACGAACAATAGCAATACTTTTATAATATTCTTACTCAATCGCTCTGCGACAATAGGTTTTGTCTCCCTATTTCAGATACATAAAATAACGATACTATTGTAATACTCTTACTCAATCGTTCTGCGACAAATAGGTTTTATCTCCCTATTTTCGGATGATGCATCCAGATGATCGTACAACGGAGTATAGACATATCAGCCAAATCCAAAAAAGCCCCGATCATCTTCGAGTATTGGTACAGCCGCGGTCTTATTGCAGGAAACATCTAATACTCCTAGTGTGGTATAGCCATAGTCTCATTACCGGAAAACATCCACACCAAGCATCCATAACTGATGAACAATACTTTATTATATGTTATTATACTTTCATCAACTCAACGTGGATCAGAAATCTCAATAGTGCGTGTTAACACAACATAAACTAAGTGGACGTGTACATATCTCGGTGTACGTATCCATGTCTGGTGTTCACTAACATCCTAGGTATTAAACAACTCTTAAGCATTGTATTATAACAATACAAGATCGAGAAACTCTCTCGAAAACCAAAACAAAGCCAAACAAACATGCACAGGCCAAAGACTGAGTGGCGGTCGACTGCACATGTACGGCGGTCGACCGCGATGGGTTTTAGGACCTACCCAGGCCTCTGTCCTACACGCGGTCGACCGCCGCTCACATCGCGGTCGACCGTGCCGGAAAATTTCAGAACGTGCAGGTTTCTGCACAGTGTTGAGTTCGTGTCGTGATTTATGATTCGAACTTGTTTAACTCATACTGAAACATATATATAAAACATTGTAAACATCAAATCATCATCTCTAGGAATCATATCACATATTTAACATGATTATTTGTAACAAGAAACATGCTTAACCCTTAAACTTGCATAAAACATAAAACAAACTCTTGTGTTAATCAAATTAGGGTTTTTCAACCTAATTAATCAAATTCTTCAATCTAAAGCATGAACTTGTAACGTATAAAACATAGACATGTTTGTCAAATAACTTAGAAAATATATACATTTATTAAATCATATTTTTAACACTTAGGTATCACAATCTAGGGTTTTCTCATCTTAAATCCACATGTAAACTCAATTAAATGTCAAAT